TTGACAATCCTGCTTTCCGCACACAGCCCCCTCCTTTTCTATAATGCCTTATCCTTTTCTAACCTATAACTCTTTTCGGTTATAGAAGAAAACTGATATGAAATAGATGCTAGCTATAGCTTTATTAAAGCTAAGAAGACAATATTATTAATTGCAAAAGCATATGTGGGGAGAGTTCAAACCAGTCAAGGATGACTTCAAAGACCCAGAAAGAAAAACAAGGGCAACTTTGACAAAAAGATCATTCAGAGATGCTTGCCTCATAACCCCTCTCTTTCTTCTTCCATTTTACTGTTTGTTTGTTTTTTTCTGACCTTTTGGGGTATATCTATATTTTCCCTTTTTAAGGGGAAAAAGGAAACTAAAGAGCCTCATGGCATTGGATTTATAGAAAATAAATAATTATAGTTACTGTAAACACATTTGCAGTTTAACAATATCTGAGTCACAGGGGAAAGAGGCAAGTCTTTGAACAGCCAGAAGAACCTTTAAAAAGAGGCTAATACTTAATGAAACAGATAGGCTAATAATCATGTCGTCAGAGGTTAGTACCAATATTATGTCAAGAGCAACAAGTAAACTGAACCTAACGCTTGGTCTTATTCTTTGTTTGCTGTTATTAAGATTTGGTTCTCCTACATCATATAGAAAATTCAACGCGTAAAGGATCATTTAATGCCAACTGGCTTCCGGGAATCTGAACTAGCTCTGCTGAACTGAAGAATTTCCAGCACCTGGGTGAGTTATACGCTAATTCTTTAAACAAGTACAAAACCATAGTTCATACTTTTAAATGGTAATACAAAAAGTCACAGATTATTCATGGGAATAATAAGTCTTGGTTATCAAAGCCCTCCAGACATCTAGACATGTCATGCAAAAAAAAGAAATGTCATTTTAAGTCCAAAAACTAAAGTTATTTTAGTAAAACAGCTAAAATACATCTGAATTATTTTAAACATTTTTTAGAGAACTATCAGAAAAAAAATTTTTCTCCTTTTCCATTCTGAGAGCTTAAATGAAACATTCATGCATTAAATTCAAAGTCAGACTGTCAAATCATTTCACTTTAATAAAAATTTGAATTACCTGCCTTAGGGTATTATTAAATATCAAATAAAAAGCATACATCCATAAGTCTGATTTCCCAATATAATTTTATGTAGAACTATGACTAGATTTGTATTACACATTTCAAGATAAAAGGATCAAAAATGTATTCATAAAAGGATGAAGTCAGAATTGGAGTCACCTTTGAAAGAATTCCTGCACCACTCTTAGGAATTTTTGAAAAAATAACCCCTTTAAGTAATTTCAGCCACCAAGATAAGGACATAAATCCATTCTCCTTTATAAAATACCTAAATTGTAATTAATCTAAAACTTTGAAAAACTACACATTATCCTCCTAATGAATATGGAGTATCTGAAATATACATAATCTCATAAACATTTCAGTCTCTGCGTGCGTGTGTGTGTGTGTGTGTGTGTGTGTGTGAAAGACAGAGATAAAACATTGATGGTTATTTAGACATTTAGAGAAAGGCAACCCTGATCTAAGACCAGATAAGGATCAAAAATTCAAGGCAATAATCTTGTTTCATAAAAAGTGTCATTTATAGTTGCTGATATTCACAGAGAGTATACTAACCCTAGACTGGAGACATTCATAAATTCATGTTCACCAAATCTCATCGCACCTCACTGCCTGCTCCTCTTCCTGGGTCACTCCTATAAGCCCAACCTTCACTCTGCTCCAATCTCCCATCTTCCCCGCTGCTCTCACCCCTCCTAGCTACTACCCCATTCTTCCTTAAATAATAAAAGTAAGCCATGGAAACACTAAGTCTATAAACCATCACCTCCTTCTTCCTTCCTGTTACAGCATAGAAAGTGTCCATTCTCTTAACAAAAGCCAGTCTCCACATCTGCTTAGGATTTTATCCCCTTGCAACTTTTCAGAGACTTCACTGCTAGCATTAGCCCTGCTGAGAAACAGCATCTTGAGCCTCTCCCATCTACTGGTTCATTTCCCTCAGCATACAGAAAAGTTCTTGTACTTCTTTTGTTTAAAAAGTCTCCCTCCATCCCATCCCCTCTCTGTTGCTGCAGCTGTCTGCTCCCCTACCAGCCTGGTTTATCAAGACCTGCTGTCACATGGTGTCTCTGCCCCCTCCCTTCACACTCGTCTTCGGCCAGCTGCAACATAACACGCATTGTCATGCCACCCTGACTGACAGTGTGGGGACGCTCTCTGACCTCTGCCATGTAGTGGTTAAGAAAAAGGGCTCTGCCAGTCAGGCTGCCTGGGTCCAATTTCCAGCTCTGCTGCTCAATGACTGCATTACTTTGGGCAAGTGACCTAACTTCTCTGTGTTTCAGTTAACTCGTCTGTCAAGTCTCACATAAGATTTTGTGAACACTTAATGAGGTAATCTCTATGTAGCATTAGAACATTATATATAGATACATCTTGATATGTAATCTCTATGCCAACAACTCCCACATTCGGTAGTTCAGACCTCTTTTCTGATCTCCACTCTCGAAATTCCAGCTGCCTTCACGACAGGTCCACTATTGTGACTGACAGGCATCTGGCACTCAACGTGCTCCAACTCAACTCTTTATCTTTCCATCCCATACAGAGCCTCCTCCAGCTTTTCTGCTGTCACTCAATGGCACTCTATTCACACAGTTTCTAAAGCCCCAAACCCCAGAAGTTATCTTTGATATTTCCATCTCCCTCCACCCTCATCCAATTTATCACTAGATATCACTTTGAATGTCTATTTCACATACATTAACTTCTCTCCATCTCCACTGCTCCTATTCTAGTATCTAAGCCTCCGTATCTTTCACCTTGGTATCTCGGCAGGCTTGTAAAATACCTTTCTACTCCTGCCCTGGCCCACTATAACCCAATCCATTCATTTTCCAGCCACCATGATCTATTAAAAACATTCATGAGACCAGGCCACTCCCCTGAGTAGAAGTCTTTATAGGTTCTCAATGCATCAACAACGAAATAAAGTTGCCTTAATGCGGCTGACAAGGCCCTCTAAAATGTGGTCCCTGCCTAACTCTCCCCTTCGATTTCTACACCCCAGACTCATAGCACCTTCTTTCAGGTACCTCAGTGTATCAAATTCTTACCTCCTCCACAGGAAGTAGCTCCTCAGGGCCTTTGCAAAAGATATTCCCTCTATCTGTAATCTCCTTCACTACATTCTTTGTTCTTCTCATTCATGGAACTTATTACAATTTGTATATTTTCTAAGTGCTTCTTTTTCCATCATCAGGCTCCCTACCTCAGACTCTAAGTTTTGTGAGTGCAGAGACCACATCTGTTCTCACTCCTGTGCATTCAGAACCAATCACACAGCAGGTGCTCAATAATGATTTTTGATTAAATATTATTTTAATTTTTTAGCTAATTCATTATAAGGCCTAGCTTCCAGCACTCTTGGGTTTTCTTCATTGTTACCATACATGAATTACTGAAAGCTTCTTCTCATTCCTACCAAAAGCGACTTAGAAGAAGGGGGAGATGAACCGTGCTGGCTAACTTAGACACTGAGAATGAATGACTGATTAGAACGTGGTCAATTGATCCAGGGCATGCATAGTTCTAAGGGACTTCTAATTTGCCTACAGACATTCAAGACACGCAGTGTTATGGGTCCTGATAGATTCAAAGAAAATAAACATGTTTCAACTCTTAAGAACTTGAAATTAACAGAGCAAAATAAGAAATACACAAATTGCTAAATGGACTAAAGAATGTGAAATGAGAGGTACAATTTAAGGGAGAAGCAGAGAGTTCACGCTGAGAGCTGTATTAGAGCTGGGCCTGTAGGGCAGCTAGGATTTTAATAAGCAAAATGAAGGGCAGGAAGGACTGTGTGAGCAAAGCAATTCACAGAAGAAAAAAGACAGCTTGGCTGGAGCGCTGGGTCCGTACAGTGTAGTAACAACGGAGAGGCAGGGAAAATGGATTTGGAAACGTGGACAAAATGTTCACTTTGTAAAAATTCCTATGTCGACCGTCGAGCTCATGAGACTGTGAGCAACTAGGGGCCAGAGATTTCCATTCACCTGTGACTCCCCAGCCCACTGCACCACTCACACAGGATGTGAGTTCATACTCACAACGGCCCATGAAGCAGTCAAAGCTCTGTCCTGCTTACCTAGGGAACGGTTCCAAAAGATGCCTTCCTCTGTAGGAAGCAGTGCTGGCCAGTGATGTGCGCTGACCTATGTATGCACTCTTAGGCAATTTGCAAGGTAAAGAAATAACCCAGTGTATAGTCATTTATGTAAATTTTATCTTTTACATGTTTGCGACATTTTCTTTTGTTAGCTCCTTAAGGGTAAGGAATACATGTATTGAATTCAATATATTGAAAGGTACAGATTATGTTTCAATCAAGAAAGAAATATACCATATTCAGATAATTAATAAGTGCTTCTTGATCTATCAAATAAAAGCACTTCCATAGGACAAGTATTTTCATTCATGCCAGATCTGCCTTCACCTACCCCAATAAACAGGACATCCAATCTGCATTAGACAGCTGAGGGTCAGCTTTGGGGCACACATACTCCTCTAGTCCCATCCTTTATGTTCCTCAGTCATCAGCAGGTGACCACTGCAGCTTCATGGGTGCAACATAGTAAAGTACTAAAGAGATACTTGCATACCACTGTTTCTCTGCCTCAGGGTGACTGCCCTTATGAAGGCTAATATTAAAGCAAAAGTTGGAATTAAAGGCTACTCTGGTGGGAAAATATAAGCATTGTAGCTTTTTTCAACACTGCATGATATGGAATTTTTGAAAACTATCTCACTTGTAATTAATGGGGCTTGAGAATGTGTCATAAACTTTATCAAAATAAAGTGCACTCATATTGCTTAATTATCAGGATCACCACGAGAGTAACTTTGGTGTGACAGCTTTACATAACTGCATGCCCATTTTCCTTACTTAATCTGCACATACCCAGATGAAGATGGACTTGCTCCTGTTCTCTTTGGCTATTGAAATGCAGCTCTAATGACTCTGTCACTAAGTGGCTGAGTGGGTCTAAAATTGTCTCCCAGAATCCCATCACAGCCTTCCACAAGTTCTGCCCCCTTAACATGTGTCCTCAGCCTTCGAAATTCTTCAATCTAAAAATAAAAGCAGAACAAAATAGATTAGTCATTTACCAGACATTAACAAAACTGGATTTTCGTAAATGACTTAAATTATGCATAAATTACAACAATATAGAAAGAGAAAATTAAAATTAAACTTCAAAAAGAGATAGACATATTTCTTCCAGACGTAAGACATTAGACAAGTTAAGATCCTTGCAAGATAAATGAAGACAGTAGAAGCAGAGAAATCAAGGTATCCAGACAACCCAAATACGCACAGAAATCTGCTGGATTTGTTAATGCAAAAATGGTATACACCTCTCTCAAAAAGCTTTTATGCCTCTCTGTAACATAATACGAAAGAGTGAACAAATGAATAAGTGCTCTTAAATGCTTCCCAAGTATACCTTTAACTAATGAATTCTGATGTCACTGTATGTTAACAGTGATTAGATGTTAGATTTATTAGATGGAGGTTTTCTTCATCGAAAGACTCTCTTGGCTGCTCGTCTAGCCCCTTGGAGAGCACAGGTCCAAAGAACACCTCTGATTTTCTGAAAGTTTAAGCCCAACTTCTTCCCTCACCAACACCAATTTTCAAGTTCATCTCCCTTTCTCAGGTGTCCTCTCCAGGTCCAGTGGCTTCCCACTACGTGAGAAGTGGCTCCCACAGTCCTGAGGGACCTTTCCCAACAGCCACCCTGCAGTTTTTCTGACTTGCCAGGTCTGCACCTCCTAAGAACTCAGACTGCCAGACAGGACCTTCTGAGAAGTGTTTAAGCAACAAGCAAACATGTGATGAACATTCATCAGACTCATTCCCCATCTGTTAGTTGATTTGCTCCTCATCTGTTATTTCATTTAAATGCCACATAGTCACATGATACATTCTTCATTCATTACAAAAAAGGAGAAACTGAGGCTAGAGAGCTTAAGAAAGTTTCCAAATTAGCTAGGTCTGACAATTCCCAGTCCACCTGCTCTTTTCCCAGCTCCACATCCACCTCTTCAGAAATTCTAGTCAATTCCGAAGAATCTAGATCCTGAATATATCGCAGAATGTTGAGCAAATGTGATGTGAACAGCATCAATCCACCAAAGTTCCCTGTGTTTCACAGGGTTATATCTACAAAGGTTCTTCATACAGCACAGCCAGATAATTCTGCCATTCATAAGTAAAATGAAACGCAAGAGATCAACTAATTCAGGGCTCTAATGAAAGTCTACAAACCCCTAGAGACTTTAGGGGGCCCAAGAAACCCCTGAATGGTATGCAAAATTTTACACGTGCATTTTCCTAAGAACAGGTTCCCTGACTCCAAAAGAATTGGATCTCACAAGATTCCAATTCAATCCACTCATATACATGTCGGGAAACAGAGCCAGGGGAAAATCAAATGGCTTGTTAGATTAGCACCCAGGTTAGAAATCTGACTGCTAATGTTTCATTTTTCCATGTCTCCAAATACCATCTGATTTCCTTAAATGGGATAAGTCTGACCCGACTGGGACTGTCCTGTCTTTTTTTATAATAACTACATGCTGTATTTACACAGACATGCCAGTCAGATAAGCAATTAGCTGTTTAATCTACATAACAGTTTCTCAGTAGACCTTTTCAGAGTCTTAGAGTGGCAATATGGGTACCACCTATTGCTTGCTACATCTGGAAAATTTCTAGAGCCAAGACTGCATGAGAACTCCCTGCAATTATTTGTGGAATGTATTTTCACTTAGTTTTCCCCAAGCATGGAGTGGAAAGGCAGCTGGTCAGTCCGAGGATCCTATGGTTTTTCAAAAAAAAGAATATGAAGGTGAAGGCAGAGGCTCAGCATCAGAAGGCCAGTTCACATCCTGACTCTGCTGCCCAAGCTGCAAATGACCTCTCTAAGCCTCAGTTTCCACATGTGTACATGGAGATGAAATAAGAGTATTTGCAAGGATGGTATAATAATAACATAATTTAAGAAAATCTTCCAACATAGTTCCAAGCACATAAGCAGTGTTCAATAAATACCTGCACAACTTCTTTTGAAGTCAAACCTTTAGCATTTTGAGATAAATATTTAGCTACAATTTTATATGCAAAAAATAGACTGGAAATAAACCAATGGACTGAAAAAATAGAAAGTCACCTCTCCTTGCATTCACTTTACACGTTATCATATGTAACAGCTGCAACCAGAATCTATAAACCACGGACAGGGTCACTGAGGAGCAATGAGGACTAGAAACTTTACTGCCTAGGGGCTGCCCGGTGGTGCAGGCGTTTAAGCGCACGCGCTCTGCTGCGGTGGCCCGGGGTTCGCCGGTTCAGATCCCGGGCGTGCACCAATGCACCGCTTGGCAAGCCATGCTGTGACAGTGTCCCATATAAAGTGAAGGAAGATGGGCACGGACGTTAGCCCAGGGCCAGTTTTCCTCAGCAAAAAAAGAGGAGGATTGGCAGATGTTAGCTCAGTACTGATTTTCCTCAAACACACAAAAAAAAACTTTACTGCCTAAACATATTTTAAGAAATACTCCATTTTTTATTGACTTTGAAGCTTATTTTAAAGCTAGGTTAATTTTATATTTACATATTCTGAACTGAAGATAAACCTTTCAAGCCTCAGGCTTCAGCCTCAAGCAGATTCTGTGAAAACAGCTTCTTCTAGAAGAGATGATCTAAATCAACAGCCAGCCAGTCTCAAATCACTGCATTCTTGGAGGAAATTATTTCACAAGAAATGTTTTTCTCTGATCATAGCAACACTTTGAAGACTTCAAACATCAACAGAGATCGAGGGAAAAAGCACGTCTTTCTGAAATGCCAATTTTTCTGAAGTAACCACCCCTCAAAACACTTTAGTCACTTCAAATGGTTTTAAGTGCATACTGCGTTATCCCACACTGAAAGGAGAGATAGTGAGAAATGAACAGAATAGTATTTCAGGATAAAAGTATTCAACAAATTCAAATGTCAGGGCAGTACAGAGACTCTATCACACATATCGGCATGTACGATTTCATCGATTTTTAATGCTACTCCGCTTAAATATGGTATTTGTTTTTAACCAACTTAAAAGAGAGAGATAGGAGAGAGATCCAACACTTGAGAGACAAGTCCTCATCTTCCAAAGGTAGCAGAGTTGAATAGCCACCGTTCTCTGGACCCAGGTTGCACTCCAGTTGTTCTAAGACATTTATTCCAACCTTCACTGACTCATGAACCAGATCATTCACTCCAAGTTCAGCTTTAAAACTGCTTTCTTGATGAGTGCATTTAAAAGGCTAATTTTCAGGGTTTGAGGTTTGTCACTTATTAATTTTAGGAGTTCCCAAGCTCCTATGCAATCCTCTAATAGACTTATTTTGACGTATATCTTGTGAGTCATTGTGTTAAAAAAGAAAACACATAAAAATTGGTGTTCTCATTTTCTTTTATCATCAAGCAATGACAATATATGAAAAAGAGTAATACAATTCCTTATAGTAGCAATCAAATAAAAGAGTCAAAAACAAGTTATATTAAACAGTCCATACATATGTACATATAGTGAGAGTATATATATGTATATATCTCTCTACCTTTAATGTACTGCAACCTTGTTGTTTTTGTTTCATTTTCTTCTACCCCATTATCTAACTTTCTTTCTAAAATCATTGCTCTCTTACTGACTTCTTATCCATAAACCAATCCTCATTCTGTCACTGACTCCTTAATCTGATCTTTCTAATTTTTTGAGAAAGAGCTTGGAGAGGAGAACATCCTCTTCCCAGTAACACTGATGTAAACCTTCCTCTTATTCCAATCCCCAGCCCTGGTCTCTGCCAGTCTTCCCATCATCACTCTACGATGGTCACTGATGAGCCACACATACCAAAACTTACAAGAGAATTACAGATTACAGAGCTCATGACCACAGGGGAAGTGCTCTCTGTCATAGAAGACACTGAGGAAATACATACAAAATTCCCACAATAGTCTAAAAATAACACATTTTAAGAAAGGAAAGAGAGAGTCTCCCAGGAGAGAGAGAAAATCCTCGAGTTGCACTGTCCAATATAATAGCCACCAGACCCCTGTGGCCACTGAGCAGTTGAAATGTGGCTAGTCTGAACTGAGATGCACCAGCAGTGCAGAACACACACCGAAGGTCAGACTTGGTATGAAAATAAGAATGTAAAAAATCTCACCCATGATGTTTTATATTGATTACATGTTAAAATGATATTTTGGGTATATTGTGTTAAAATATACTACTTGAACTAATTTCACCTTTTATTTTGACTTTTTTACTGTGGCTACTAGACAATCTAACCTTACATATTTGGCTCGCATCGTGTTTCCCCTGGACAGGGCTGGTTTAGTGCCGCCCTTCAGAAACTCAGCATTCTGGTGTTAGAGTGCTCATCTAAGTTATACATGGAGATAAATGCAGGTAGATAAGAAACACTGGTTCTCACAGTGTGCTTCCTGGAAGAAGTTGCTACCCCAGACCTACTGAATCAGCAACTCTGGGGTGGGCCCCAGCAATCGGTGTTTTAACAAACCCTCAGGGGATTCTGTCGCACGCTCAAGTTTGAGAATCACAGACACAGAAGAAAATTTACAACAAATGTTCCAAATCACTTAAAATCATTTTCAAACATGACCATGCTGTGGCCTTGCAACAACTTAGTCATTAGGGTCAAAAGCCCCTCAAATCCCATGTGGAGCATGAAGACAAGAAACGCCTGCAGCTGAGTCCTGGACGTCATCAGACCGCCTCGGCTGCCAGGACCAGATGTGCTCCCAGCCCCCAAAGCCCAAGCACACGCCAGGCCCTAACTCGGGCTGTCGGGGCTTTTCTATCCATAGGACACATGGAACGGAGAAGGATGAAGACGAGGCAAAGCAGAGAAGAACAGAAGATTAAAAATGGTTTTCCAAGTTCTAACAGACACATCCACAGAGTGAAAAACAAACACATTCATATTCCTTTGTTTCACTGGTGTTACTTGAAGTCGAAAGAGAAAAGAAAAAACAAAGATACATCTAATTTGAG